AAAAAAAAAAAAAAAAGAAAAAAAGCCATAGACAAGAGCTAAATCAATCTATATGAATTACCCAGAAAAGGCAAATTTTCAGGGGCAGTAGAATAAGTGGCTCCCCGGGACTTGCACAGGGAAGGGGAGTAACTGAAAGCAGGCACAAGGTTCATTGTTAGGTCTTACACATGTTCTAAAGTAGAACTGGGGTGACAGTTGCCCAGTTCTGTACATTTGCTGAAAAATATTGAAAGGGGCAATTTTTTATGATGCACAAAATACATTTCAATAAATCAGCATTATCCAATAAAATCGTTTAAAACTCTGATCCTGATTAAAGGACGGCAATACGTCATCCAGGATCATGTACTCACTGCTCCCCGCAGTGTCCAGCACCTGCAAGTCTGGCTTCATCACCTAGCCAACCTTCTCAAACCCCACCACCTCTTATTGCTGCCGAACACAAAGGCTATAGACCCGAGAGCCTCAGGTTCCAGCTCTTGCATTAACTTGTTCTGTAACACAAGGTTATTTCCCATCAACGACCTTGTCCTCCTCCTGAAATTGGAGCATCTCACCTTTAGAATGAGGATAATGTGTCTCACAAAGCCAGCTGTAGAATACTTTAATGCATTTAATATACCTGGCCCAGTGTTCAGCAAAGAAATATGCACACCCTTCACAGGGCTGCCCAGATCATTAGATCAAAGAGGCATTATCAAGGCCCATTACTCTGCACTCTTTTTACTTCCTTCCTAGCGCTGGGAGACTTTATTCTTTTGTTTCCCCTCCCTCCTGCCCATTCCTCCACCTAGGCTGAGTTCTCCACAACAGCAGGGACATCGGCTGTTTCTAATTCTCTGCAAGGCCCGATGTGGGTAATGAGCACCTGGTAGCTCAGGTGCAGTGCTTTGGCAGGTCACCTCTGTGGCATTAGCGTGTCTTAAGACTGTCTCCTGTACCTGACTACATCCTTCTCGGTCTTTTCCCCCTCAGTGGTCCAGAGCCAGCCTCACAGATGCGAGGAATAAAAGTAAAACTTGATGTAGCCGGGGGGGTGATGAGCTTGAACATGTGGCTGAGGAAACAGGTTCCTGAGCTGAGTGGAGCTCAGGGCAGGAGAATGGTTGCAAAAGAGGTTGAATTGTGAGGAGTACGGATGTTCACAAGGAAGCAACTTCAGTTGAATTACCAAGATAGCTGCTTACATGGGGTGCAGAAACAGCAAAGTAGACCTATATAGGACAGTACTGCCTCTGTGTGCCTTCTCTTGCTGGACAGTGAGGTTAAATGTACTGGTTGATGTTGTCTTTATGTACATGCTTGCTCTGAAAATTGAAGTTGAATATATTTGCAGTATTTTGCATTAATTACATTTCTTTTACATTTATAAAACTGGGGCTTTAATTCACTATGTAAATTTATGAAAGCAAGTATACAAGTGAAAAAAGGTCTAGCGCTGAATTTTAAGGTAACTAGAGCCCTTTCTAGGTCTAGCCTTTGGGGATTAAATACAAGTGTATCTAAAAACATTTAAGTTTCTCTGAAGGAGCTGAAGCAGATATTCTCTTTTGGTATCTATCTCTTATTAACTTACCATTTGTTCATGTTGGTAAGTACTGTATTGCTCTAATGATTTTTTAAAAAAGTTTTACTTCCCCGCATAAAGATAAGGTAAATTCCTCAATCCTTAAGTAACTTTGCTAGCAAGAAAAGGCCATACGTCAAAATACTTCATTATCATTATGTCCTTTCTTCCATCTTCCTCCTTTGAACTAGCCACACAAGTGGAGGGGAAGGATGTGGTTTTCCTAACATGCAGCTGTGCTCTCCGATCTGCGCTTCTGAACCAGCCATTTTTTTTCCCCCGATGAGGTACACAACTGAAAAGGAAGGACTCAAACGATCAGCAAGGTTCTTTCCAATTATAATCTGATAAAGGTGGGGCACCAGCATTCCTGTCCAGTCAGGCAGAGGCAAATCACACATTTTCCTGCTGCCCTTACATATACTACTGTGGTAGGAGTGAGCTTGAAGTAATTAGAAAAGGCTCCTTTGTGAAGCCAAAGATGTAGATTAAAGCCCTACAGTTTACTCCAGTAACACTTTGGGCAAATTCCTTAATCTCTCAACGCCGGATTCACCAGCTTTAAAAAGAGTTTATACTTCGCAGAATTAAGAAAACTAGAAAAGAACTGTACCTGTCTCATTCTCACTTGGAGTCACCTCCAGTTACTTTCCAGGATCTTTGAAGACTCAACCAGCACCCCCACCAACACAGGAGAGAAAGTAACAAGGCAGAAGAGCACCTTACCAAGGATGTCAGTTTCTCCTTTGGGTTCTTGCCCCTCAGCCTTTCAACACAAGCCAACTCCTCCTATTTCATTCTTGCCAAAGCCAGGCTAATAAACTACGTACCACCCACTGAACTTCAAATGTGCTGCCCACTTTGCTAGACCAAAAGAAGCCTTACAAAGCAGTCTGCATGTTTTCTGAACACTTTTGTACACATTTGCGTCTTATCCTAACAGCACCTTATCTCACGTACACAACCCAAATTTTTAATACATAGCAGCTGAGGTTTAAAGGAAAAGTTGTTTACTCAAGGATACACAGCCAATAGGCCTAGAAGTTAAGACTTGCTGAAGTTTTCTGAACTATGCACTACATAATTCACCTACACTCAACTCAGTGCATTTCATTACTACACTTCACGTGGTTCATTCATGTAATCACTCAATAATGGCTGTGGGAGGAAGTGTAGAACAGCGGATCAGCAACCTTGGACTTGACCTACTTCAATTCCTCTTGTCTCACTTATTAACCTGTATGACCTGCGGTGCACATCAGCACCTGTTCCTAATCTACAAAATGGGCTAACAGGATTCTACATCTCATAGCTCTGTCGAAAATATTAAGCCAGAGATTTAGCTCAGTCGTTCCGCCTCCTGCCTCGAAAGCACAAGGACCCGAGTTCGATCCCGCATACCAAAGCAAAACCAAAAATATTAAATAATATCTATGATGGGCTCAGCACAGTACATGGCTGCCTCTACATGCTGAAATATGAGCTTTTATTTTTCTTCTACGTGCTGGGGACAGTCATGGATCACTTAAGAACCTCAGCCTCAAGAAGCTTACACTTTTAAGGAGAAACACAAGATGCAAGTAAATACAACTATCAGTACAAGTTTCAATTGTGTCAAATGTCATGAAAATAATAAATACGTGACAGTGGGGTGGGAAGCTACTTTCAGTGTCCAGGGAAGGATTCCTGGATTCCATCTGAGCTTTTACAAGAATGAGCACAAGAGCCAGATACTACTGCATAAAGCTGAGGAGGGGGGCTGCAGACAGCAAACAGAACACTGCATGGAGCAAGCTGCTGTCTTCCAAGAAAAACAAGGAGGTCTTGAGGCTACTGAGTAGGTGGTGGAGGAAAGAACTAGCCCTAGACTGGTCAGAGAAACCAGCAAACACTAGGGCAGCTCTCTAAAACCAGTAAAGCATTTCCTCAGTTCTAACCTGTTAGGAATCCACTAGACAGTTTTAATTTTAAGCAGGGGGAATGGTATTATCAGATCCACAGTTCCTAAAGTGCCCCCTGGCTGCAATGTGGAGAACAGATTGTCGGGCAAATGTGGAAGCGGGGAGCCCCTCATCCAGAGGCTGCTGCAGGCATCCCGGAGTGGGAGCGTCTCAGGTACATGAGTGGGGGCTGGAGGAACACATTCGGATGTGAAATCGAGCCACAGAGGCTGACGTGGGCCCAGGCTTCCCTCCAGTCTTAGCGGCCTGCCCACCTGTCCCCTTCCCCCTTTCTCCCCAGAAACCGGTGAAGTGAACCATCAAGCCTTCAGCCCTAGGTTCGGGGCTCGATGTAGCCTCTTCCTGGACCTGAGATCCGAACATCTTCCGAGACCCAGGACGCTTCACGCGGTGAGAGGACTCCACTCGCCGGGCGCGCTTCTTGCCCCCGCGGCCTCTGCGCCCTGCACGCCCACCCTGGCTCGGAGGTGCGGTTCACCTGAACACCCTGCAGCACCGGACCCATTCCTGCTCGTCCACTCCGAAGGACACACTGTAGCCCAAGGGTCGGGGACGCTCCCCAGAGGAGGAGTCTTAGCTGACTGGTGGCCAATCGACCTGTGTCCAAAATAACCAGGCCGACGCAGACTCCGGGGCTGTTCCAGGCACCTCCAGGACTGGGCGGCTGAGGCACTAGCTAACAAAACCACCTTCTACTGGCCGCCAGAGAGTCGGCCAATCAGATAACGCTGGCGCGCTGTGCCTTGTGGGAGTTGTAGTCCACGTTCCGGGACGGAGCTAAAATTAACAAGCTAGGGAGTTGATAAGCGCCAGTCTGGTAGGGGCGTGGTGGTCCGCGTGGTCTGTGGAAAGCACGTTGGACTGATACAGAAGGCAGGTACCAGCAGGAAAGCTTAGAATGGCAAGCCAGGGAGCCCCGGAGGTATGATCTAGGGCTCCCTTGGGAAAATCGTCCTTGAATGAGACGAGGGTGATGTTCTGAGACAAGGGGGCCACCAGGAAGCTGAAGTGATCATCCGGAGGCGAATTTAGGGTCCGTGTCTTCCTTCAGCAAACACAGATTGATTGATTGATTGATTGATTGATTGAGACAGGGTTTTGCTGTGTTTCAGGCTTGCCTTGAACTCTGTGTAGCCTAGCCTGGCTTGCAACTCGAAGCTATCCTCCCGCCTCAGCCTCCCAAGTGCTAGGATTACAAACATGCACCACCGCACCCGGCCCTGCATACACGGATTGAGCAGCACTCATTAAGTGCCAGGCAAACACTGACTTCTCAGGGAATACAAAGACCAACAAGAAACTATTGTGCCTTCCTGAGGTTTGCAGTGTAACGGAGGAATCAAATCATAGCATGGATGAGTGAGGAAACAGCGTGATAATCTTCAATATGCATCATGGTGCCACTGAGAAAAAAGCAAGAGGCCTACTTCAATTGGAAAACCAGATCAACCTCTCTGAGAGAGATGCATTTCAATGGAGGCATAAGGATGAGTAGGAGTTGGAGAGGAGAAGACAAAGAATAATTCTCCTGGGGGACCAGCAAGTGCAAAGGCCCTCGGACAGGAAAGGGGACCATCCTGGGGCTGGAAAATGAGGAAACCGGGAGCTAGAGGAAATGAGCTTAGAGGATGATCTTTTAAGCCAGGGTCAGAGTTTAGGTTTTATTGTAAAGGCCTTAGGGAGGCCACAAGTGGTCCTAGACATTTGGGAGACATTATGCATGGAGGACAGCATGCCCAGAGAGCAGGGTACCAAAGCGCTGTATTTATGCTTCTAGCAGAGGACCTTGGTGCAGTGAAGGAATCCAAGCTATTGCTATTCATAGCCACAGATACCTTTTTTGTTCTCCCAACTGACTGAATAGCTTTAACTCACCAAAGTAAGCTCTAAGCAGAATTTTGAATCTGGCGCTGGAGAACAGTAGCTTACTCCATGAAATAGCAAGAAATGTTTGGATCTCTGCATTTAGTAAAATGTGATTTGATTTCCTCCTTCCCTCCAGCCCCACCCCAGAACGGGGAATTGAATTCAAGGCCTTTGCACTAAGCTGCATCCTCAGCCCTTAAAAAAAAAAAATTGTTTTTTAAAATTTTGAAACAGAGTCTCCCTAAGTACCCAGGCTGGGCTTGAACTTGTAACTTTCCTACCTCAGTCCCCCAGAGTGCTGCGATTACAGGCCTGTGCCACTATGCTCAGCTGATTTTTCTCTTGAATGAACTCCAGACTAGACTTTTAGGCTGGATTCAAAGTCCTTAGATGTGTGTATCTCTATCTCCTGGGCAGCTTTGTATGTGGGAGAGAAGGAGATGCTAGTATCCCTTGTCTATCCCAGAATAAACCCCACTTCCAGGCAGAATTCTGAGTCACAACTGTAATGTCACAGAGTTAGCGATTTGAACAAGCCAAAGAAGATTTTGTGTTGCTTGTTTTATGAAGAATACCATTTGCACCGGCTGTGCTCCCTGACTGGGGAGAGGAGCTACAGAAAATCTGAGTGGTTTCATCACTCCAGCCCATAAATTCCTTATCAGAGGGAGCGAGCTTTCTGGGATTTCTGGGTTTCCACTCCCTTTGATGTTCAAACTCTCAGAGCCTACAGAAGCCCCAAAGTAAGATCAGCAAATCTTCCCAAAGAGATGGGAAGGCTGAGCCCATACTCGCTGTTGTTCCCTCTTGCTACCACACGGTGGCAGCAGAGGACACAGCATTCACTCCATGGCGCTGGAGAGGCTGGGCTGCTTTCTTTCTGCATCAACTACGTACGGAAGGTTCTAGATAGAGTGCAGGGCGTGCTGGCTCCTCCTGTAGAACAGAGCACTTAACCTCACGTCACTCCACACATTTTTTCTCCTGTAATCTGTTTAAAAGTCAGGCAGCATCTCTTGTCCTTGTGTGTACCCCCACATACAGCGATGTGTGAAGTCTCAAACATGGACCACTAATTCTCCTCTTCATCTTTACTAAGGCGGCCAACAAACACCATGGTCATTGATGGATCCAAATGATTCCATAACCCAGAAGACCATGTTCGGGTCCCACCTTTGCCAACGATTTAGGCAAGTGATGCAGCTTCTCTTTAAACCTCAGTCCCCCCATCTCTAAAGTGGCGATAACAACGGTTTCTACCTGATGAGAAAAACGCCAATGAAAAACACTGTTGCCAACCACCTTTCTCATGACCCCTCTCTCAGGACCCCTTTCCAGACCCTGGTAAACGTCACCCCCCTGTCGCCTGCAGCCCTCAGCTCCTTTTCAGAGGTACTGACTGATTTCAGCGAAGACCCCCAATCCAAAAGAGAGAGACAGAGAGACCCCCCGAAAACCACAGTCATATCCTCTGTACTTCAGGTCTAGGCCTCTAAATGTTCACAATATTTAATAAAAGCCAGACTCCTGCTGAGATGGTCCCGACAAAATTAAGGACAATCCATAAAGTAGAACGCCAAGACTACAATAAAAGACATCTTATAGTAATAATTTTATACATAGCATTTTTCTATATAATTTTAAAAATATATCCTTATACATTAGCATTACCACATGGCATATATATTACTATGATGAAAGACGTGTATAATGGACCACGCCAGGGTCTAATCTGCCGACCAAGCTGTCCACTCACAAGCTCGTCTTCCTGAAGAAGAGGCAGGCTGGGCACAGGCACGGACATGCTCCAGGTGGGGGCGCTGTTTCCCCACGTTCAGGCTCATCCTGAAACTTCCCGGCCCGCGGGAAGCACCTGCCTGGGGGCAATTTGCTGCTGACCGTGGTCCGGGACACCTGCCGAGCAGCTGTGCCTGGGTGCTGACCCCGCGGGGATGAGCCGGAGCTCCAGCGGGCCGCCTCAGGAAGCCTGGGCTCTAGCATGAGGACCGAGTCTCACTTTTCAGAGATTTCAGGAGTGGCCCCGGGTAATTAATTCCGGGACCTAATATCCCAGCCTGAGAGCTTCGGGTCAGGGATACTGGCACCTGTTACAGGCAGCCTCTGCGTTCGGGAACGGAGGACCTGTGTGCCTGGTACCTGTGGACGACTGAGGGCTTCTCTGGATCCAAAACCCGCACAACCCGAATCTTCAGCCAGGATACTGAGGGCTGCTGCTGACAGCGATTTCCTTGGTAAGGGAGGCCGGGCCGGGGAGGAGAGTGAGGGAAAGGGAAGGGACCTGGGGGAAGCTGGCCTCTCTGCACAGGGCTCCCCGGACCGCTGCAGCCCCCACCCAGGCTGAGCACCCACAGTGCTGCATCTGAGTTCCTTTTGTCTATTTCATTTTGAAAAGCGGTTTTCAACTGTGCGTTTTAAAGCTTTCGTGAATTTCCAGTAGACTGGGTTATCTGGCACAGTTTTAGATCTATAGGAAGATTGTGAAGCCCCCCATTGTCTCTTGACTTGGTAATCAGGATGTATTTATTATAATTAATGAGCCAGTAGTGATATGTTTCTAGTAACTGAAGTCTGTGCTTTATGTCTTTTTTTCTCTCCTAGGCTCCTACCCAGAATGTCACAGCGCATGTGTCTTAGGCCACGGTAACCGTGACAGTCTCAGACTTTTTCCTTGTCCTTGATGACCTGGAATGTCCCGCATTTGGGATTTGTCTGACGTCTCTCTCAGGACTGAGATGGGGCTGTAGGTTGGGGAGACCGTAGCGGTTCAGCGGCACGTTCCTGTCATCGAATGAAGACTGAGTGAGGTGCCAATTGAGGGAGGAAAATAAGAGAGCAGGGGCAGTGGGAGCAGGGTGGAGGGCCGCTTTTCTGTGTGCTGCAGTGAACATTTGTTTGCATTTTGATCATGACTAGTACATGATTTTTGTCATTAGGAATCATCGGCCAAAAGCATGCAGCACAATTTGTTTTCTTTGTGTCACGAGTATTTTGAAAATTGAACTAAAACCCGCTGGAGCCTGTGTAAGTGGGACTCTTTGTTGAGTATTCCTGCTAGTCAGTGAGTTGTGTTTTATTTCATTTAATTCGCCTCTCTCTCCCTCTCTCTTTGAGACAGTCTCTCTGTTGTCCGGACTGGTCTTGAACTCCCAGATTCCAAGGATTCTCCTGCCTCAGCCTCTCGAGTAGTGGGGACAATGTGGCATGTACACCTGTGTTATAATTCTTATCACAGTTTGGTAAGGTAACGTCCTCGTTGGGCTCCCGACAAGTCAGAGGCACAGAGAATTTGGGTGACCTGCCCAGGTCACGCAGCAGGGAGGGGAAGCCAGGCTTCCAACCACGGGAGACCCCTGCTCCGGATCTGAAGCAGGAGGTTAAGCACTGCCCGTCAGCCAGCGGACGTCTCCCCCGACCAACCAGAAAGACAGGAGGGAGGCGGAAAGGAAAATCAAAACTGTCACTCGGGATCTCTTAGGGAGAGACTCCGGGACGCAGGTGGCCCCACCTGCAGCCGGCGCTGCCTCTTGGCCGAGCCTGGACACTGCCGCCACCTGGTGGCCAAAGACCAAACCGCCGCTCCGGATTTTCCACTGGACAAATCTATAAATCTGTCACAAAGACAGAAGCAGCAAAACGTTTGTCCTTAAAGAACGCGGGGCAAGTGGGAAGTACAAGCAGAAATCCCGTCAGCGAGGAGTGCGAATGCTAAGCTGCAGAGACTTGTGGAAGCGTCTCCCTAGGCATCCAGGGAAATAAAGCAGGAAGGCATCCTGG